ATATAAAAACTAGACGAACCTTATGGTTATACGGCAGTGAAGCATCAGTGCCAACATTGATGTTGCTGTCTTTGATGATAATGATGAGCACCCTTTCGGTACATAGTTGCCATGCAACCCGAAGGAAGCATGAGGGCTAGGATACTGTCAGGTTGCCCAAAGCCTAGACAGGGGAGCTAGAGGTCGGCTTCGAACTACAGATATTTCGGTCAGTGAATTCGCCCCTGTTCAAACGAGTGACATGAATTTGAGCTCTATGAATATTGCAGGCACCTACAACTGTATGTTAGTCGTGAGTAATGTGGTGAAGACCTCCAACTAAAGACTACCGTGCCCTTATGGGCAACTCCATTGAACTCGAATAACGGTGTATATTCCTTTCAAATCACGTAGACTGATTTCGGACCAGTCACCACATCACTTCCAACCGACCCCTGTAAGCCCACATCAGTGAAGTGAACTAGCCCGAAAGCTGTTGAAGACGATTGTGCAAAATAATGAAGATGTTCCGCATAAAAATGTTTCGATGGGAAGGGGGCTACCGATTTTAAGGTTGTCTGCCCGGGTTGTCCAAAACTGATAAATGCACACTACGTGCCATCACGATCAGCAGATCAAACTGATGCTAGAAAAACGTCTACTTTTACTTTACGGAGGATTCAGCCTCTGGCAATTCATCCAACGAATAAAAAAAAATCAGTCTGGTGGGATACGGACCTATGCCGTTTACGGGATGTAGGAAACACGAAACATCCCCCGATAAGAGAACGGTATCATGTCGGGTAGTACAGTCTCTCCATTCGAAGGAGGAGGAACAGCTATGGTGGGTTATACTTTTGAGTCCTCCCACTGTCTTGTGGGTCAGGCTTTTGAGTCGAGGGCTCAAGGTGGGATACCTCAACCAAACCCCCTTCCTCGATCTGGGCAACCGGGAAGTATCATTTGCCCGCGCGGTTCGGTGTCCACCGATGTCCCTACCCAACCCCTTCCCACCACACAAACGTCGCTGGGCCATTTGACTGTCAGTTATCCGACCGAAGGGCTTTATGCTCCTCGCTGATTACTAACAATAAAAAATACCCTTCTAAATCCACGAGATCCTTTCCATATAGAAGCTTCTAACGTCCGTACTCTATGTTAAATTGGAAAACAGGCAATGTTTGTTGAGACCTTATAGTCCCTTAAAATTTATGTATGCTGTCTCCGAAACACGCATACAGGGCCCAAGTGTGGTTATTCATCTCAAAACGCCAAGGATGAACTCAGCTCTTTCACATTTCTCCCTCCGTGTGTCCAGTGACCCAGAAGCAATGACTCGTGGAATATATGGCGTGGGAGTTGTACTCAGTCCCAGAGCTTTACGCGCTTTGCTGGATTGGATCCCAGTGAACAGTCGTCTTTGAGCCGTCCGTCTAGTTCAATTAAGTTCAATGCCTCGCGGCATAAAAAGCGGCGCCTGTTTGTCGTGTCGGCTTATGTCCCAACGGACTGCGGTTCTGATGCGGAGAAGGATGCTTTCCATTCCGGCTCACTCGTCAGGCAAAAAGCAATGACATTGTGATCCTTGCAGGCGACTTGAATGCTCAAGTAGGTTGTCTGAGCTCCTTGGAATCACATTTGGATGGTTGATTCGGAGTCCATGCTCGCCGCACAGACAACAGAGATCGATTCCTTCAGTTGTGTGCTGATCATGAACTGTTTCTGGCAAGTACGAACTTTCAACATAAACGTTCGCACCGCGTAACCTGGCGACCACCAACGACAAATCAACCGTGGACCCAGTCGGACCACGTGGCCATCAGCCACCGGTGAGGAGCCACAGTCCAAGACTGCCGTTCTTTCTGGGGCACACCACTTGACTCTGATCACGCCGTGGTGTGCGCACGTTTGACAGTTCCTTTCCCTTCATACCATTGCAAGTCGGCAAGAAGCATGCCAATCCACTATCTTCGAAGAACTTCAGTAGCTCAACAGTACCGATCTGAGCTAGCCCAACAAGTCTCCACAGTAAAACAATACTGTGGTGGCAGTGAGCATGTGGATGAAGCGTGGGAAAATGTGAAAGGAGTTATGCTAGCGGCGTTCAATGCTGTCTGCCCGACTTGTCCAATTCGATCACAGGACCACTGGATGTCGTCGAGGTCGTTATCCATGATTGATGCCAGGAAAGCCATACCAGCAGGCAACGAGTACGACGGCGCACGCAAATCCCTCAAACGCCAAATAGTGGAGAGTCTAAGGAAAGACCGAGAGCTCTGGTGGACATCGAAAGCTCGGGAGATGGAGAAGGCTTTTGCTACGGGAAACAGCCGTGTCCTTTATCAACTGATACGATCGACTGGCCCTAGGAAAGCGACGGTCAGCGAAACGATAAGTGAAAAAGATGGCTCATTAATTCACTCGCAAAAACGTCGACTGGAGAGATGGGCCGAACACTTCGAAGAGCAGTTCAGCTGGCCTCCTGCAACACAGCCTGTGGAGATAGTGCATACGGGCGAATGGAATGTAAACCTTGATCGCCCTTCGGAAGAAGAAATAAGGTACGAAGTAGCCGCACTGAAACGTGAGAAGGCACCAGGACCGGACGGTCTGTATCCAGCCCTCTTCAAAGAAGGCAGAAATTCCCTGGTGATCCACTTGACAAAGCTTATTGGTGCCATATGGGACGAAAAGAAAGTGCCTGCAAAATGGGGGCATGTCGACATTTATCCCTATTTTCAAAAAGGGTACGAAGACGCTAGGTGAAAACCACTGTGGCATCAGCCCATTAGCTGTGGCATCGAAGGTGCTCTCTGGCCTTATCCTTCGAAGGTTGACTGAACATGGAGACGGATCCGTGAAAATCAAGCTGGGTTCCGTCCAGCAAGAGGTT